TAATTATAGTCTATTATACATAATTCTCTCACTGGAAAAAAATTTTTGCAAATTCACAACCTACCTAGAAAGTTATAGCTAAGCAATTCTAATTTAAGGTCAGTGTCAACTCAGTGTAGTATTTTTATTTATCATATAAAATCACGCAAACCGGAGAACATAGACACATGAATAAAAATATAAATTAAACACCTATTCACCTAATTGCATCTGAGAGAAAATAAATAAAATAATAACTGATGCAACAAAATAGCACATAACACGCAGTTATCTATCGTCACATGAATCACTCATTGATCACATGCGATGATGCTGCTAATGTTTTATAAATTATCATCACCTCTTCTGCCCTCGGCTTCGAATATATCAACTTTTAACAAGATCATATACACCGCCTGTTAGAGATCATAGAAAAAAGTTATAAATTATCAAATCTCTTTATAAGGGCCTAAATCACTGATGCAGTATATTGAATCGCGTCAGTTACCGTGTAAACCCTGCATGTTCCTGTAGTATTAGTAAGTTTTGTTAAATAGGATTTTAAAAAAAAAGTACTTACCTGTTTGAATTACAAATGCGTATTTTGTATTTGTATTGGAACTGTATAACAATATTTCTCCAGAAAATAGTGCACGTACGATAGCATGATGATCACGCTATGATGATATGCATGCGCTTTCATAAGCAGAGAAGGCAAGACACGCACTTGATGTCATTAATTAAATAAATTGGTGCATTGGTGAAATATGAGTTTTTGATTTATCTTGGTTATAAATAAATAAACATTAAAAAAAAAACGTTTTAGAGTTACATTATAGGATCACTTTGTTGTTCGTCCGTCTGTCAAGACCCTTTTTCTCAGGAACACGTGGAGAAATCAAGCTGAAATTTATGTCAAATACCTACTCAATCTGCTGTCCCTTGGAGATGTGATAAAATAAAACTTCTAAGCCAACGCATTAAAAAGATACAGCCATTTATGCCGCTTTCCGTAAGTTTTCGAAACTATAGTAAGGTAATCACAATCTACGGGGTACTTCCCGTGAACTCGGAATCTTGTGGTACGAAACAACGTCTTATAGCACAGATAAAGGGAAAATTAATTACATAATATAACAAAAAATATTTTTTTATTATTTTAAAGTTAACTACTTTTACTTACATAATAAGTATACCTACAGAGTGGTAAGTGTAAGCTTTACGCTAACGCGTTCACTAGTGAACATGTTAAAAATTTGTATGGAGATTTGTAGTTCTTGGTAGTTACCGCTAGGGGCGCGAGTCCGTCTCGCATTTGACTATTTTTTATTTTATTTTTGAATTCGTATTTTTTGAACCTTAACTAACATAACTTAACACCTATATTTTGTATTTTAAATAAAAATTAGCTGAAATACTGTATATTAAATAAACCACTTAAAAATGTTAAATACCATTTAATAGAAATGTATAATTAGGAATATATCTTGCCCTGCCCTGCCTTAATTAATAAGGATCCTTAATTGATGAACAATTGTCAAATTATTACAGTTGATAAAGTTGTATAAGCCATAAGAAAGTTATAGAATAATCACTTGTGTTCATTCTCACAAGTTCCAGAGAAGGAATTAAATAGGCTGTCGTCAGCAGGACAATTCAAAAAAGGCGACCTGATTCAGAACTCACTCAAGTGTCCGAAACCGAATTGAAGTCATTTAGTGTAGAAATTGTATTGATTCCATTTTTGGATAGAATAGCCTGATACAAATACGAGAAAAACGGAAATAATTCGATATAAGCCTGGAATATTTTTAATCAAGTTTGTGAGCCAATTACAAGAGACTATATTTAAGTTTCCATCTCATTTTAACTACGGAAGGTATAAAAAAAATCAAGTCAAAAAACCTTCATTCCTTCACCCAAAATTACTAAGACGACTTTTTTCACAAATTTTGGTTTTATTTATCATAGCGACAATGAAAATTACTGAAATCAACCTAAAAATTTACTCATAATAAAAAAAACAGCTGTTATGTTTTAATGTTTGATCTCCATACTGAAAGTTGGATATTTTTATCAGGCTGAAAAATACAAAACAAAATTGATTGATTATACGAGTCTCAAAAATATTCCTATAAACTCACTTCACTTATGCCACGAAACATTATGACCAATTCGAGATTGTGCGGATACAGCTTTTTGAAGTGAATTCGGCCCACCTGATAAATTCGAAATTCGGGTTTGGAATTTCACAGATTCTGTGAAAGCAGGATTTTAAACCTACATACGTACAAATGTAAAAAAATGATATGACTAACTAAACAGACTTTTATATGACACAAACCTAAAGCATTTATAACACAAACGTATTTCACGAAGATAATTAAGTTATTCGTATTTTAGACACTTAAATTAAAATAATCACTTAAATAAACTTAATTTAACAAGTATGAGTAATATTAATTAATTTTAGCCAAATTTTGTATTTAACTAATTATCACCGATAATTGTTATGACGTCATATTTAATTATCATAACATTTAATTTTAAAACATGGGCCTCTTTGATGGATAAGAAGCTTATACATAGAAAATATATTCTTTGATTAATTACATATTTATTTGTGCATGGGCGTGTCATTGCATCTTCGAACTTGTAACACGCTTATCGACGACTCATATTGATAACCCTACCCCCAACGAATAGGTAAGTAAATAATCGTAATTGTGGCATGATAATAATCCGTTGCTACTCAGCAACTGTAAAAATTACATCGTATTGAAAGTACCTGAGTACCAGTTTATAGAACAAAGAATCATTATTTTATTATTATTAAAATAACTCTTAACTAAAATACAAAAGGAAAAACATAGATTATTATAAAACCAATAAACAAAAATAGATTAGAACGACTATTATTTTCTAAAAAAAAAATGTTTTTATGAAATATGCATATTTAAGTCTACGTTACTGATAAGAAACAATTGCTGCACGGTTGTAATGAATGGAAACCAGTTTACGTAAACAATGTATACTAAAGAAAAAGAAACAAAAGCTCGTCTGATCTAGCCATTGAAACAAAATACAATACATTTCTGGTTAGGTAAATAGAAAAATAAAAATAAAAAAAGGTCTGTCACAATGAAAAATAAGAATATAGGTACCAATTGACGGCAAGCTTTGTCTTTAATAAAGGAATGAGATAAGACAAAATAATGTATGCCATAAATTTTTTAAATAAAATTATATTGTACACCGATTCTTTTGAGGTTTTATTGTTGACGATAAATAGGTACTTAGGTACAGTATTTATGTTAAAAATATTTTCACATATTAATGATCAAGTGCCCACCTTAGGCTAATACTTGTGACATATTATGTTTTCAGTGTTTTAATAGAAGTGCTAGTCAATACATACCTAAATATTTGATTATATTAATGAACTAGCTTTCGCCAGCGGCTTCGCCCGCTTGGTCCCTAGATTAATGTTTAGTGGGACAAAAATATCCTATTATCTAAGTCAGCTAATATCCTATCTGTATACCAAATTTCATCAAAATCCGGTCATTAGTTTCGGCGTGATTGACCGACAAACATCCAAACAAAGAAACTTTCACATTTATAATATTAATAGGATTAAAAGTATCAAAATTACAGAGTTGTAGATAAAAAGACTTTCAGTTGGCGTGCCCTCCCAAGAAGACGCTTTTATGCCGTTTCGCCGTTTTCGCTGTGATACGACTATTATTTTTTCCGATCCCTCGTATTAATGAAACACGTTCTATTGTGATTTAACTAAATTCTAGCCGACTGAAATATAAATTATTCATTGTCTAAGTACTTATTTATACTACATTGGTTAAATAATTCATTTAAACACCTTTTAATCAGGATACAGTTCATTAAACGAAAGTCGTGTTAAATTAAAATATAATGGCTGTTTAGCATTAAGTGATTTGCATGAAATTATTCCTAACCTTTGACTTTGTTTACACTGTGAAATTGGGTCTATTTAAGTAATATTAATTAGTATGTGAAAAACCTGTCTATTTAGTTATTTAAAAGCAAATAATTAAAAAACTATTACTACAATGATTAATAATAAATAAATAACTGTAGAATACCGTAAATTAAGCATAACCTATTGAAAAAAAAATAATATGTCCAATTTTATAATGTGTTATTGGTGATTGTTGGAACTTAATTGATATGACGTATTTCAATATTTCCCATTGATGGGCCTATTCAAGATAGACTTCTTATTTACCTGTTTTCTTTTGATTGTTTCAATTACACTTTAATTATTCAACAAAATCCAAATAATTAAAGTAGGTAGGTACTATTACTATTCGTAAAAAAATGCGTTTTATCGTTTTTAATATTAACAAATATTACCAAAAAAAGTAAAAGATAAAGTACTTAAGACTACTTACCTATAATTCTCTTATTGTTTCAAATGGATTAACTTAAAGTTAAGTTAAAATTTTACTTACAATTTATCAACTTAATACGAGTAAACCAGCCATTACTGAAATAAAACTGAAATATTATTCCGTTTCCTCTAAAGAACACTTCGCTATTTAGACAAAACTGAATATTCTTTGTTTTAAGTTAAAAAAATATGCCTTAATTAATTGCTTAATGTAATTTAAAAAACACTGAATTATGAATGATTTTCAACACTGAACAAATACTATATGTCCAAATGTATTTATTTAAAGTAACCATAAAAATAATCTCTTATTTTTTAAATAAATCCCGCCACTATTTTTTGAATGTAACCAATGAAAATATGGCATCTATTTGAAGTAACCAATCAGAGAGCTCCTATATGGTGTGACTTTGGTGGGACGCTCCCTTTGACCGTTCAAAACATGAGAATAACGTGTTTTTATAAATAGAACGTTATTGTTTATAAACGTAAATCGTACAATATGCGTTTAATTATTACTAGTATTTAATGTCGTTCAATGAAAGCATAATACTATTAGATAAGACTAGAACATAGTAAAATTATCGAAGTTTATTTCCCCGCATCACACGATCCGGTCATATAAATACAGCGACGATCCCCACCTCTTGCCAAACGTCAAATCGTTTCATTGCGTGCGGTCGTTTGTATTCGCGTCGCCTCGCCAGTTCGTGTTGTTTCGTAAGCCATTGCAGCTACTTTTCGGTTTAAAATCAGTGACAGTAAAATTAAATAGTTTTGTGTTCAGTGGTATTTATACAAATAAATAACACAAGAAAAATGTCTTTCAACACCGATATATCTTCGAAATTGGAGAACAGCAGGTACGGAAATAGATTCCTAACGAAATTTCACATGTTGGCTGACCCTTGTAACAGGCCCTTATTGGATCGCAAGAGGGATGCGTAATGATTTCTTGATTATGCTGATACTGGGCAATAGAAACAGCAGTTCTGGAAGGAAATTGATTCAAATTGTGCAGTGTTCAAAATGTCTGAATTCCTTTCACATTCTATACCGTGTCATTTCTAAATGTGTAATAACCTACAGTTTGCTACAAAATCAGACTTTATTTTATGTAAAACATGTCTTATTACATTATGTCGATTATTTATCGATATACAAAATAGGACGCCCTGGAACTCTTTGAATCATGCAATGAGGTTATCCAGGCTTCAATTCTATTGAGTTTGCGCGGACATAGTAAGATGAGTCAGAGTGAAAAACCCTGTCATAGCATAATATTATAAGTATCTTAATTTTGAAACACAAAAGGCCCGAATTTAACAAAATAGTCTAAATCAAGTGATTTTAATTATCATTATTGTAATATGAGTCATAAGTACTGTAATCCCTCGTACTCAAATGCATGTTTTATACTATCTTGTGTATTTGCTCTTATATTGTAATTGTATTACAGTAAATGAAAAAGAGTAGAACATTTATTTATATGATCTTCATAAGTGACTTGAAAACAAAACATAACTCAAAATATTGTATGAAATACAATAACTAAATTATATTTAAATGATCATAAAACATTACAATTCTCAATTAATATCTTTATTTGTAAATACTAAATGAAAAATACGTATTGACATTATATTTACTGATTAATTATAAGATATAATAAAATATAATTCATCATATTGTATAAATAAATGTATAGGTACATAAAAAAATTAAGAGAAACAATTAACAGTACCACTGCCCAAGTACTAGTTACTTTAGAATATGACTTACTTTCACTACATTATTAAATACAATATGTACAAGTGGTTCAAATCATGCATAACAATAGATAAGATAACAAGAACTAACTTTGGTAAAATATATTTTAACTTATTAGATCTTTGTTTGATATCAGTTACCAACCAAACTATAAGTATAGGTTGAATTTATTAGGTTTTATATTCTACACCTATTGAAAACCTTTTTTAAATTACTTAATTGTTTATAATTATCATTATATTTAGAAAGTATTAAAGGTGCCATTGATTTTATTTCTTTATTACTATTTCTTTTTTCCCACTCTCAGCATTCAGCCTCTAGGCTATAATCAGATGTGCTAACATCGATCAATGTTTTTAACATTTTCTTATAATTATTTATTTTTGTTACAGGAATAGCCTGCGCAAAATTGCCCGGCATGACAACACTGAGTTCTCAAAGCAGAGCATCCTCAACGACATGGAGAAATTTGTAAAAATGGTTAACACCATGGACGAGACTGTGCTAGTTCCCAGCCGTCTAATGAACCTACCTCAGGAGGGAGACGATGACCCATTCAGCCTATTCGCTATGTTGAATGACTTGAAGACTGAGTTGCTGTGGGCGGGTGATTCTGAGGAGCATGTCGAAAGGGGCAGGCGAGTATCTGACTTGAGTGATACAGAGAGTGATGCATCCAGTGCTGCCGGTGACTCTGGTATTGAAGGTGAAGATGAACGTGAGTCAGCAGTGCGGGCTGCTGCTGCCTGCAGACGTCACCTCCGTGGACTCCGCCATTCGCTACGTACGCTGACTGCTGCAGCCGCACACCTAACCAGATCATATCAGGAAGAAGTGGGCGCTCCAGTCTAAGATAAAACTTACATTACCCTGTGATCAAAGCCTGCCCCGCACGCGGTGTAAATATAGAATAAGCAGCCCGCTCTGTACATATAGGTTATTAGGGCTGAACGTGTATGGGAATCTCAGTAAGTTAACGTGGTTATTATTTAATAAACTAAATTTTCAATATTTAAGTTTTTCTAATTTATACACCTTTAGACGTTAATACCTAAAAACTATTTAGCTAATTCATGCAGAAAAATTAATAATAGAACTGAGGTAATGCAGTATTCTCATAGTGATTATAGGTATTAGCATATTTTTATATGTATAGTGGAATATTAACCCACCAACGCTATAAAAAGAGAATAATTATTACGTAATGAAATGCTTAAGAGCCTACACAAGTAGCTTGACCTACATGATAATGTTTTATCACAATTTACCTATACTACTAAGTAAACGAAGGCGAGCTGCAATTTAGCGAATAATTCAATGGAATGAGGAAGTATTTTAAGCAGAAAGAAAGAAAGCACTTAAAAAGCAACTCACTAGATGGCGACTCTACCAAAAGTTGATATTTTCAACAAACGAATAGACCAAATATAATCATTGCCGTTCCTTTTAACTAACATATTAAAAAACTGATATTTGAAATATGAGTTGTTTATTGAGTTTTGAAAATTTATTTACTTTTGTATGTGAAAGAAAACCGGAAGAGTTGTCATGGAGAAATCAAAAAAGTACCGTCGTCGCGACATCTATTTTGACTTCGGAAACTTGTTTTTTTTAAATACTTACTCATTGAAATTGATCAATATTACCTTCACGAATCAACATGTCCAGATCAGGCGTTTCCGATTATTAGTTATATCTAGAATCTAAGTAACCCACCGCCATTTTTACTACGAACATTAAGAATCTCAAATATGCATAGTACAATACACATATCTGCTCGGTCTACACACTATACATTTCTTATATATATATAGTTTTGGATTATGTGAAATATCACTCAACTAGACTTCAAAATGTTACTATTCATTTAGTTGGGTTCTTTGTGCGCTCTTCCATAATAAAGTCCCAAGCGATTTAATTCAGTTTCAATCTATTCAAGATTACTTATTAAGTAAACTTCATATAATAAAGTATTAATTCTTACTACTTATGAGGTGTCTGGGCAGCAGATTAGAATGCTTCCGGACGTAAAGGTGATTCAGCCGTTTTGATAGATGATTTCTTCTATAACTACGTATTTATGTTAGAGAATTACTAGAATAAAATCTAATCTGATAGTAAAAATGATAATATCGATATTGTTAACAGTTTATTTTTTGATTCACACAGTACTCCAGCAAATATAACCATACCTTCGAAAATACAAAACCGTGTTTGATGACGCAAATTCGTATTTTAACTTCTAATCAAATTGCTTATTTGACCCACTTTTTCAGATAGTTGATTAATATGTTTCATGAAAATAATAACACGTTACTTGACATATGAAGCTATGGGTAATAGAATTAGTGTCCCTAATAAAGGACAGTAGCTTCAAATGAGTTAAATGCTGACATAACCGCACATTCGTATAATAGGTTTGAATAAGAAATTACATTTCTATCTTCAAATTTGATGATAGCAACCCTACACAAACGGTTTATATTGCAGTATAATTTCGGAACACGATGCCGCATTATGGATGGATATACATACCTTATCTACAGTAGATAACCGAATCTGTTACTAGGTATTAAAAAATTATTACTGTGCCATTGACATTCCACGAAGTCCAGCCGGGTGATGGCGTGCAAAACCATACTTGTGGAGTTTCAGCCTTGAACGGAAAAAAGCTGCTTCAGTACCTATAGCCTTAGAAATCGATGCTGACAACCTACATACGCAAGAATTGTAGCTCAATAGAAAACAGGTAAAACTAAAAACATGTTCTTATTAATTCATTACATAGTTATGATTTACAATAACAGTATTTATTCATTCGTTCATTATTTACTATAGTTTAGAAGTCCATTATTTATAAACAACCTTAATTTTTAATCCTTATTTAAAAATTTCGCGGGCGATTGTCTAGTTCGTTTATAGAGTTTTGTTAAAAACTCGTAAAATTTAAAGATTACTCGGTTGAAGATCTTTTTTTTTCAGAATTTGTAACCTTCGTCTTATGTCAAAAGAAACATCAATCAGAACACGTGATCGTGTATCATGATGTCATTCATGCGTGGCTTGCGTGGGCAATATTAGATAAATAAAATAATTATAATATTTTTGAGAGTTTAAACAATCACCAAATTACACAAATGTCTATTAAAATTGTCATTAGTTTAAAGCAGAATTACCTATAGAGAAATTAAATTTAGAACATTCATTAGAGCTGATAGTTGCCATAAAACCTTAATTGGACTGCAACTGGATGAGATGGGTAATTTCTGCATATTATTTCATTTGTATTATTATAAAAATCTTTTATAGATGACGTCATCCGCTCTGAATTGCCCTTTATACAGCATTTTAAACAATTAATTTAGCTATATATAAAAGGCTTATTTACATATCGTACCTATTCCATAATCCGTTTATTAGAATATGACGACCGACATTAAAAGTTATACCTATCCTGTACTTTATGTGAGCACTTCAGAAGTAATCACAAAATAAAATGGCAGCAGACTTGTTCTCTCTGGAAAACGACAATATCCTCTGGATTCAGAAATTGTCTCAATTAAATAACATTGTGATCAATTATATCTGGCCGATTATAAATTATTCCATACGAACCTCAGTGTAAGTAGGTAAAGTTTTGTCTAAGCCTAATCTAAATATTTAGCGACTGAAAGCAAAAGTGGCAAACGTACCACAAAGTATCGTACGATATTAGAAAGCATTCCGCCAGCAGTTATAGGAACGGAACGGACCAATCGCGGTAAAATAGGTTGTCTTTATAATGATGCTATCTCACTATGTAATTTAATGCAACAGAAAGATATATTGAACTATTTTTACGCAATGCTTCCATCTCACTTTTTATATCTAATTCCATTTGTCTATATGAATTTTATATTTCCATAGCAATTCTAAGCAAATGGAGAATATGCTTTATAAAGTACATACAAATAAAACACACTGGAGCGGATGAATACCCATAATATATGAAAATAAAAGTAAAAACTGCTAAGTGCAACGAGGGCATAACATTATTGAACTGAACTTTGAAAGCATCGGACGAGGGATGCGACCGGCCAACTCTAGCCATATGACCGATGTTATAACGAAATTTCTTGTCATTTTACTTCTTTAATTTAATAACGACGGACAAATGATAAAGACTTAACAGTAGTGTATTTAATTATCAACCAAAAGATATCAAAGTAAAGACATTTGTAAAATTAACGAAATATTGACATAACCTCTCTTAAGATATCGTATCATGTGCTAGAGAGTTGGTGGTCGCACCCCAGCACGTGTAGCATGGCGAACTCGAGAACGTTTTGTCTACACTCAAATGTCACTTTTTTCGGGTGCGCCCTCTCGGGTCGAGAGTGAGATATAACTCTCGACCCGAGGAACTGACAAATGAGTGTAGACAAAGCGTTTCTCGAGTTTGTCATGCTACGCGTACTGAGCGCTAAGTGTAAGTTTTTTGACGTTTACGTTCACTGTCGATCGTGAGCGCGTTAAGATTTTAGTATGGAAATCGGTACAGCGCCCCTAGCGGTAACTACCAAGAATTACAAATCTCCATACAAATTCTTAACGCACTCACTAGTGAACGCGTTAGCGTAAAACTTACACTTATCACTCTGGTTCTAACGAAAAGCTTTGGTATCAGAACACAGCTGTCCTCATGACATAGTTCACGGTCATTTTAACAACTGCAAATTGGTAAATTTTATATTGTATGCACACGTCGCAATGCTTGTACGATCTGGTAAGGAAGGAGGTAGAAATATTGGGAAGTAATAAAGGAGGTTAATACTTCGCTGATAAGTGCCCACACAGACTAGAATAATGTTCTTCGGACTGGGCCATTGCAGCTTCAATCAATAATCGCTGATCGAAGCATTGCAACAGATTTTTTTAAAATTTTTGGTTTAACCATGTTCTATAATTTAATCTTCTTATATTTTCTACGCGTCCTAAAAAAAGGATTCAAGCATACTGACAACGGTAATTTTTTTTTTGGACGGAACCTATTGTATGAAATAACATATTTTTTTTATCTTCATTATGTAATTCAGATACTTTTTGTTTGCTCGACGCTCAGTGATATTATGATGTCACTTAATCTCTCACTATTTCGGTATATTTTTATACTTATCTAATCAAAGCATTAAAATGTCTTATAAATAATTGTAATAGGATATTATTTTTGCGAATTTAATTTACTTTCAGCTATCATACAGTAATGGTACGATAACAAATATCGCTCATCATTCTATTGCTATGCGTATAATTCTGAACTTTGTAAAAATAGACATTCAATTTCTTTTAGAAAGTTCCAAAGTCAAAAGAAGTAAGACAGCTAGTTATCAAGCTTAAGTAATTGATATAATTGTAAATAATATAATATAATTGTAAATATAGATAGATCCTGGCTGCATTTGTTATCTTTATATTTTATCTTTAACTTCCACAAATCAGCATTGGGTCTGCGTGGTGGGTTGTTTATTATAACCTGTTCTCACTAATTTTGATTTCAGTCATAGGAAAGGCCCTTGCCCTAAAAGTGGGGACTGGTGATTATTAATACGCTTTAAAGCAAATCTAAATAGCAATTAGCATATAATGATGAATCAAATACCTAATTGGTCATAAACATTACTTAATTAACTTCGAGATAAGATTCCAATTCGACCTGTATGACTTTTCCGTGACAATTAAATGATAAATTACCTTTATGATTGGCGTTATCTTGTCTCATTGTACTCATGATCATACAGCTTGAATGTTTTTAAATATCTAAGCAATTATAAAACCTAAGAATATAAAATTCATTTTAAATTTGCCACTGTTATAAGGCTTCCTGTAACTGTGAAGTATAGGCAATCTATTTAACAACAGTTCACTTGATCCTAGGATCTTATAACATCGCCTATCTTTGATGATAATGAATCAGAATGACCTTTTCTCGTTTAAATCATCGATATTGCCATGTCAACCAATCTATTTG